TTTTTTGAGTACACCGTTTTATAACCCATTCAATTTTAGTCTAATAATGAAGTATTCAAGTGGCTAAAAATTACGGATGATTTTTTAGAATTTTTTCGCCGAAGTTTTTGCGGGTTTCTTCCATATAAAAATAAATTGTTTTTTTTCGTATATGGAAGCAAATGCGACAAAATATATTCTAAACAAATCAACGGTAATTTTTAGTCACTTGAAAGTTGCACATTATAAGACTAAAATTGAATGGGCTATAAAATTGTGGCCTCGAAAAAGTTTTAACACTTCTGAGAAAACCCTTTGAAATTTGGGTGAAAACTTTTTGCATTATTTTGTAGTTTTTTAGAAAGTTTTAAACTTGGGTTACTATCATGATTCAATAAAACAAGGTTGTGTAATTTGTGACAGCTAAAATTTGACACTCCTTTATCTAGATTTGTATTTTGGAAGTAGGAGAAAGGGGAGAATGTGATCGCCTTTGGCGAAAACGGTAGTAGAAAGGTACTACAAAAAGTACGCAAAGTATACAATAAGAAGTAAAGAAGTGTACAATAAGAAGTAAAGGTGTATTATTAATTCTATGCGAATTTGCAATATATTTGGTGTTATAATGGAAATCTAAACAATACATAAAAATATGCATTTTTGATTTCAGTTATTCGTCATTTGCTGGAAGAAATCTAGAATACCGACCGTTCAGCTATACAAAAATGAAAAATGCAGATCAATAGAACTTTTTATGTTCATTTCAACCGTGCCAAAATTATTTGGCGAAAGTGAAAAATGAAGACGTTCTAGAAGGTTAAAATTCAGTTTTTAGATTTTTTAAATATTAATATCTTATGAACTATTTAACCGATTAAAAATTTAATGACGTCACCACCAAGATAATTGATTTGTCTTTCAGCTGATGCACATAATTTATAGCTTTTTGTATTTTTAACCTTCGGAGGACACACCTTTTTTATTTGACGTGAACGACACACTGGGGTAAATTGCACCCCAATTGAAATGTTGCTTTTAAAACAGACAGCTTAAGCTTTTTTTGCATATATTACGCTGGAAATATTTAGATAAAATAAATTTAAAATGAAATGTCTTATTGAATTTTTCAAAGGTACAAGATCATATAATTGCATGGTTAGCTTTTATTGACATAACGAAAAAGTTTATCAAAAATAGGCTTTGCACTGGGGTGTCTTACACCCCAGTGTGTCTTCTGAAGGTTAAACCAAAACCACTAAGAAACGAACAAATGTTATTTTTCATGAAATAACCTTTTTTGAAAAAACTGCATAATTAATGGTAAAGAAATTAATATTATTTAGAAAGTACAAGTTATTACCTTTAATTCGATATTACATATTTTGTCACTATCTACTTTTGGGTTTCAACAATTTAGTGATAATAAAAATACAAATAAATAAAGCAAATAAACCTCTTATATCTTATTTATTTATTACCTGCGCCGAATAAATTTGGTATCGTTCAAATCAGCGTAAAAAGTTCTATCAATCGGTATTTTTGGTTATTTTATAGCTAAACGGTCGCTATTCTACACTTGTTCTAGAAAATTACGCAAACGAAGGTGATGCTCACGAATATTTAGTATGAAGAATTTTTGGTTTTACTACTAATATCATTAGAAACTGTAGAGTAAGCAACATTCTGCACAAGTAAAGGAGCCGATTTTATGTGTGGAAGCGAGAATACTGTTTTATTACAAAACCTTACTATTATTGAATCAGTTTTGTTAGAGAATGAACTGTAGTTTAAATGAAAATTCTTAAAAACTAATAATTAATAATTAAACATGTTTAAGTGCCAAACAATATCAATTTGAGGTGGGGGTGCTATAGATATGTCCTATACTGTATATTATTTTAATGAGTTACGTAAAAATAGTGCCGAAATCCATCAATTGTGCTTAAGGTGCCGGCTGCTTTCGAAGGGGTCAAAAATGGCAAGACGCGAACTCATTTTCTATCGCTGATAGACTCTTTTTTTCTTCATTTACGATACCTTCGCAAAACCGCCCATAGACCAGTTGCAAAACCGCCCAAGTTCGAGGCCACGTAATGAGCGGCAAAGCGGCAAGCGGCTGAGCGGCTGAACGGCGCCATACAAAAATCTCGCTCAGCCGCTCAGAGCATGGCCACTTCAATAGAATGTTTTAATTAAGCCGCTTCTTTAGCTTTGCCGCTCATTGCGTGGCCTCGGCCTAAATCACCGTTATGTGACTAAAACCACAGATTTGTAAAATAATAGCAAGAGAAAATAACGCCAAGGCAATGCCTTAAAAAAAAACGTTTTTCCCCTCTTTTGTTAAACTTTTTAATTTAAGGTAGGTGTTTTGCAGGCATCGGTTATATGTAGTTTAAACCTACTCACCCTTGTATAGATAATCTGGTATCCCATATAAATCGAAGTTCCCTGGTGAATGCTGCCCATAGCTGGGCAAGTCCGCTTTTACCTCCATAATGTGCGTTGCAGGTAGCTAGTAGGCAACTAAGGCGCCAATACAAAGAATCCATCATTGCTGATTTTATTCGATGCATGTCATACTACAAATATACACATGATGCATATGTACATAAGTATTTTATTACTGAAAAAAATATATTTTTTAAATTAATTATTTGTACTTCTTTCATCTCCTTTGGATCATTCGAAAAGCTATATTTAGCAACATCATTCATCTTAATTCATTTTCATTAAGCGGGCCAGCTATATTATTAGAACCCTTTAGAAAATTTGAATCTTCAGGCAGATGGCTTAAACGAAAACGTCGAAGATGTGGATCTGTTATGTGTGGCAGTGACTTTTCTGAACCGCTTGGATATTCCGTTAAACTCTGTCCTATGTAGGTTTCTAAGGTACCTTTATCAGAATGTACTTTTAAATACTGCCGTAAGCAGTTTGACAAATAAGATGTATAATACAGTTGTGCGACTTCGACGGAACAAAGTCAGAATGCAGCGGTGAATCTATAGCACCGCTTTCAGGAACCTCCAACCAATCGTAACCAAGGTATACTTGAGTACACGCATCGGGGAAATATCCGCATGGAAGTGCAATAAATTTCTTGATATTTAAAAATTCATTATTTTCACAGGAAGATTCATATAATGGTAAGCTCATTGAAATTCGTTTACGTACTGGTTTTAGAGCGTAAGTGTTTCGCACGGATACAGTGATCGGATACACACAATTCGCTGGAAGTTTCTCTTTGAATAACGACAGCAAACCAGATAGGTATCGACATTCAATCGGTGACTGTTTAAGACACTACATCAAAATTAGTACGTTGCGTTAAGTGCATTCCTATTCCGAGACACATACTTAATTTTGTATCGTGGATTTGCACAAAGATAGGGATCATTGGACAATATTCTGCCGACACGATCGCTGCGGCACTTAAGAAAAAGCTGAATGGATTTGATAACAATTGCTTGTGTGATTGATGTAGATGGATCAACACAAAACTATGCAACCCATACAGGAAAGAGATCGCATGCGCACTTTTGGAATTTTTGGATATTAGCGATGGTCCGAATTTGCTTTCAGCTGCCATTAGGTCATTATATATTGAACTATTTGTTCCG